ATTGGGGACATATCTAAGTTCCTGGATACTAGTCTACTATAAGGAAAGTAATCCACAACAGTCCATTGCCATTCAGTCTGCTATGTCCAGCTTTTTTTCAAGAACATTTAGTGGAAGGAACAAATATGATTGGAAAAGGAGCAACAGTGACAACCAAAACCTTGAAATTTTTTCAGGCAAAACCCAATCAAGAAGCTTCACAAGCAGTGGCATATGGCCGGAGTTAGCACACAAAGAGTCGCTGTGCACAAATTTATGCTACGCATGAGCTGCAAATGTTTCATTCCTCGTGTCAACTTAGGAAGTGTCTTACCTGAACTAACGAGATTGAGAACTTGATGATTGCTCAGTAGAAAGTCCTATTTTGAAATGAAAGCAAAGTTTGCTTTTAATTTGAAAATCGTGGATTCAGAGTTAGTTTCTAAAAGTGTGAACATTACATGATCATTTGTTATTGCACAATTCCTTCCAGAAATTATGGTACATAATATATTTAACAGCAAGGCATACAATATCGCCTGTAAACTGAAGATAAGTTCTATTTCTATTACTGACAAAACTATGACAGTTGAGGTCTGTGTAAAGCATAGCCAATAGAAACTCAAAAATTGCTATTCAATGTGCAGCCGTAATGATCATAAAACGATGACCCAAAATTCAACCAGATGCAAGAAGTGAAAAAATTTAAAATTAAAATAATAAAATTTAAACAGATTATTAAAAATATGAAACCGCTGCAGGTCGGGAGGGATTCACCACAGTCAGCAAGAAGGAGGTAGGAGAGCTGAGTGACCAGGCAGAAACAGAGGGAAATGTTTCCATTGTTGAATTATGGCTCACAAACTTAGAGTTTGAGGAGAAACTTAAATAGTTTCTGAAAAAGCTGGTTGTTTTTTGTCATCACAGGTGAATCTGTGAAGATTCCTGATTCCGTCCAGGTTTGTTTTGTTGGAATCCTTCTTTGACAGTGTCTCCTTGGTCCAGGGGATTCAAAGGGTCAGATCCATGAGATCAGAGACAGGCAGAATAATCAAGGAGAGAAACCAGAGTTTGGAATCCAAGAGCACGTCCAGAGTCAAAGCCAGGTGATCCGAGATCCAGAGATAATCCAGATTGATCTGATGGAGATAATCTAAGAGCACGGTCAGGGCCCAGAAAACAGGTAAGAGAGCCAAAAACTCACTATGACAGTTCAGCTCAGAGAATCAGGAGGCAGAATGGGGTCACAATCAGGCAGACAATCGGGTAACAAGAATGCTGGACAAAACTCACGAAGGCTCGTAACATTCTGGCACTACTGACTGGTCTGAGAGCTGGTTATATAGTTAGGTGACCAGATTGGTCTGATGAAGGCTGATTTGAAACAGGGCTGAGATGACAGGTGTGATAAATCAAACCAGCACTAGGGCCAGGAATCCTGATAACAGCAAATATTCCATGTCTCTGGTCCCAGTGCCCTCCTAACCACCTGCACAGTTTGGATATATAGTGCTTCTTATGGCAACCATGGACGCACTTGAGCTGTAGCTTGGAGGTCAATACCAATTTGAAGCATTTTGCAAATACAGCTCACTGCAGAACTGGCATCAATGGTATCAACTTGATCAATTAATGTTTTTAAGCTTGAATATCCTAAGTGGACCAACTCCTGAATTCTCACTTCCTAAATAAGGTGTCTGTAGTTAAGATGATTACAGATTTTAATTAGAATAAATGTATCCTTTCGAATTTCTCTTGCTCAGTCTGAAAAGTAAACTAAAGGTTTTCATTTACAACTTGTTGTCCTAAATACCTGACATACCTTTTTCAGGTATGGGTAGAAAGGTAGAACCAAAACAGCCAAAACCTTTAAGGTTCTGCTGGTTCCTACAACCAGACAGTCTTATATGAACCTATGAGTTGCCCTGCTCAATGCCCAGAGTTATCTCTGCCAGCTCTCAGTGAACTTGACAGGGCTGCTGTGTGTAAAGGTTTGATGGAAATATTAGTGGGTAAACCTGGGTCTATGCTCAACAGCAGAGACCGTAATGCAAAACAGAGAGATATTTCCCAGAACTGTAGAGATAACCCCCATAAGCAAAAATGCTAACGTTTTTAATCAACAACTTGTTTAATCTTTATGCATCCCACCAAGCCCTTACTGGGTGCTGGTTTTGTTTTCATTTGTCTAAAGGTTCAACATCCTCTTTGGTTCTCCTTGCATGTCTCTGGTTCAGCACAGCTAGCAAACAAAACTTACTCCAAAATGATACCACTGTGTATTCAGAGAAGGTTAATATTACCAAACATTTACTTTAGGTTTCAGAGAAACAACATCCCTTAACAGAGATAAAAAAAGTTCTAGGATATGCACAACAGTATCCTAAGCAGAGGAGGAGAAGGCTTCATTCAGGTAAGCCCTTTGAAATTGATTTCAGAAAAACTATCATTTTATTATAAGAACCTTTTTTGACATGCATAAAACAAGTTGTAACAACAGCTTCATATTTGTAAACAGCATTTCAGATGAAGTGGAGCAGGTTAAAATACCAGTTCTTCTCCAGATCTTGGTTAGAGTTTGATATGAGTGCACAGTGTGAGATCCATCAGAGCTATAAATGCTATTTATTTTCAAACCCCTAGGTGTCATAATTTCCCTTTATAATTTTGTGACAGTAAGACTGAAATAAATCGTCTTTCAGAACATGTTTTGTTGGTTTGCCTCTTGAATTGAGATGTATCAAGGCATGGAGCATTCTAAAAAGAAGCTGTGGAAAGATGTGATGCAAGGCATGCTTTTCCAGAAGAGGCCAACCCTATATGAAGGTTTGTGCAATTGATGTTTTATAAGATGAAACAATGAAATAGTAACTGCTCACAGAATTTGGAAGAACCATCACGCTCATATGTTTGTAAAAAGCAGCACAAACAAATGCTCGGTATATGCATTGAAAGATGGGTTGTTAGACAAAGAATTTGACTCTGTTGTTTGAAACTTTGGAAAACTTCATGCAAAACGTCAACAGATTTACTGTTTTCACTAGACATCATCTGATTATCACAGTTCTGACAGGCAATATAATATATATAATCTTCTTTGATTCTCTAGGAATTGAACATTAGTTGAGCCTATGCCATTTTCAGATATTCTCTGTTAGAATTCTCTGTTGATCAGAACAACAACTTCCAACAAGCTACGGTTGTTTGTTGATGTAGCCTCTGACATTATATTCTTAACCATACCCCTGTGATACCTTTAAAACTCTCATTCAGAAAGGGTGAACCCAATTATGAGTGGTGTTTGCAGCATGGACAATCTTCATGACTATAATATCACACACTTGTCAGTTTTAGACTCATAATATTGCAGTTCCAGATATAAATAAGTAATAATAATTACTGAACCAGTAATGGATTCTCTTTAGCAAACCTATGATTCCTAGAGGATGATTGAAATAATATTTTACACTGCCTGGCCTAAAAAAAAGTCGCC